GGACATTCAAATATCGCATCCTGGGATGGATTTTTGACAGAGAAAGTGGGATACTCTTTTATGTTTACATCTTTGGCGAAAGTTGTTCAGAAATGCAAGATGGTACATTTGATATTCCAATAACAGAGCCGGTACGTGAAACAAACTAGTTTATTTATAACTTGTCTTTGAATTTCACATGGTAAACCATCGAACTTATCTTATATTATTTTTTCTTTGTTAGGCTATAAACACAACTTCAACGTATGCAGAATGGACAGCCCCAGATATAGGAACGTATCATTGTACTGTAGTTGCATATAATCGAGCATTAGAACCATCAAATCCAGTTTGTTCTGATGGTATCACCATTGATACTTCACCACCAACACTCAGTGAAATTGTCATAGATGATGCTATTATAAAAGCTGGTGTGATCAAGGACGGTGATGGTAACGTGTGGATGGTGAATACTACTAGATATCGCCACCAAGTAGTTAATGTTTCAGACGAATGCAGGTATATGAACAATTCTCTTGTTGTCTTAAATCCTGATTTCATTCCTCTTATTTGAAAAAGGAAACACCTCAACGCTTGTTATTGCAAAAAATAGTTTGATCTGTTTACAGAAATGTAGCAAGGCTTGACAGTGATATAGAACTACTGCCTTTAAACCCATCTGAAGATATTACAAGTACTGATACGGAATGCATAGATGCTGGACCTTTATCAACTGTTATATATTACAATAAAGAAAACCATGTATGTGACCAACTACTCTAGTATACACTTTACAAATCATGTTACTCTCACATTAGTCGTTATGTTGTTGATAGGAAATGCATTATGATCGAATAGATATATGTCATCACCCATGGTGCATTAACTTATTAGGGTATTTTCAATATTTCAGTTCTCTTTGAGTTGGCAAGGAGATGATCCTGAAAGCGGGATATACGACTATGAAGTTGGTTTAAGTTCCACATCTTCTGGACTGAGTCCTGACATACTACCATTTACCTCCACCAATTCACACAGGAACTTTCTTACTTACCACCCTAATTTGGCTGAAGGTTTACAATTCTATGTGGTTTTGAAATCCATCAACCGAGCAGAGTTGACACAAACAAAGGTCAGTCAAATGAGGGGTTTTACTTTTGTATTGATTGTTCTTTGAAACAGTGAATTCGTTCTGTTAGTATAACCAGCATAATATGCTAAATATATGACTATTGTTGACAGGTTATTGGACCACTCTTTGTTGAGGTGACACCCCCAGTCTTCACTGGCGACATTGATGTTACCTTGGAGACATATAGTGATGTAGGTTACCTTGTGGCTCGTTGGAACCAAGACGATTTTTATGACGGGGAAGATGCCGAGCCTCTGATACGCTTTGAGTATGGCGTTGGTAAGTCTGCAGATGAAATTCGCTTTTTGTTTTGTGCATATGTACAGCCATATTCATGTCTCTGCATTTGTTTCCCTGTATTGAAATAATAAAGGCCATTATCATATGTGTAACTGTGATCCCCATCATTTCCCATTGTTTGAGATAACATCACACAATATTTTCTGGTGACAGTATTTTTTTACTCAGATTCAAACCGTAACACTGGCACGCAGAGCCATACCTTAATCTGTCAACCCTTTTCTGAAGCTTAGCTAATAATGACAACCTTGTAAAACGTACATGATCCCTATCCATATTGAAAACCTTGTTGCGGAAAGAAAAAGTGCAGCCCCCAACATAGCATTCTTGTTTATACTATCAACTCTCTCGGACGATCCCATGCTTGAATCCTACTTGTGTACATATTGACAATTTCATGCAAATTTAACATAGTAAATCAAAATGTCTCCAAACATTGCCATCTGGCATGAAAACATGATTAAAAACATTATTTCAGTCATTATTCAGCAACAATCAACAACAAAAAACAATTGTGTTACATAGAATAGTAATCACCACATCAAATAGTAGTGTATTTTATAACAAACGCCCGGCCTGTGATGTAGCACATAATACTTTTGAAGTATTAGTTTTATCAAGTGATATATTATTATGGTTTTACAGGTACAACTACCCATGATACAAACATATTAGATTTCACAATCTTAGACGACCATCATGACAATGATCTATGTGTATCTGAACGACCACCGTCATGTGTTTCTATATCAGTTGATAAACTTAATTGGCATCTACATGGGGATCATTCCTACTACGTATTCATCCGCGTAACAAACACTGCTGGGTTAATCAGTATTGCAAAGTCAGCAGCTTACAGGCATGTGGTTGAACCACCATCGAAAGGCATTGTATGTGATATCCTTCCACTAAGTGAATATACTGAGTTATATGGGGTAAGTGACGTCACTTTAAATTGCATGCAATGGATACATTATATTTGTACTGTAATTATTTTATGATAGATTATATGACGATAGTAAAGCGTAAAGGTACTTTGTTTAAACTTAGTTTTTGGATCATGTGGCTAGAACCATTGATCACTTACGTGTTTTGGAACTGTATTTTCTGGAATCATTGTCGAAAAATCAGAACCTTATCTTTCCCAGGAACCTCATGACATAGATTTCCAGACTTCTAGAACTTCACTACATATCCGATGGTCTGGATTTTCCCATCCATATCTGGATGTGCGTTATGAAGCTGCCTTAGGCACGACACCTGGGGAAGAAGATGTTGTTGGTTTTAAAGCTGCGGATGTGGGCCACACATATCTTGATTTTAATGGACTGAACTTAGAAAATTTCAAGGTAATATAACAAGATATGCGCAACGTCTAAAAATACATTGAGTAATGTTTTCCGTGTTTTTACAATGTCTGTGTTTTTTTTATTTTTTTATTATATAGAAATACTTCGCTACCGTAAGAGCGTCCAATGATGTTGGTAGTGTTACAGTGAGTTCTGATGGAGTTCGGATACTTTCAGATCAAGATGTGTTGACGTCAGCAAAGGTTTATGATGGATTGGGATGCACTAGAGCAGGTATGGAATATATCTCAATTGGACAATTGAAGTTACTTTGTTTGCAAGCTGCCTTATAAAAGAATCATTTGACATTGTTTACTGGCAATAGCTGTAGTGAGAATTATGTACACATGACAAATACTATAATCACTATTGTGAATTTTATATCGTCACTGTGGTTGAACCTTATTGCAGACAATTTAATTTGTTACACACTTATTTTTCAGTTTCAGGCTTACCGACAGAACACACGAATACTGGAACTTTCAGTCACCATAGTAACGATGGACGTCATGTTTGCCAGGAAGATCTTGAATTTCAGGCATCAATGTCTTCACTTACCTCATACTGGAACATATCAGGTGATATAAGTGATTACATTACAGACGTTCATTGGGGAGTGCAGAGACTTGAACATACAAATGAGTGAGTGTTCTCTCAGATAACTCCTGTTCTGTTCATCTTTGAATGTTCTGTTATTTATAACGTACTTTAACGTATTATATTTTGTAATGCGCTATTCCATGAATGTATATTTTAATTAACATTGTGGTTGTTGATCTGTAGATCTGATGTATGGGACTTTGTGAAAGACTTTGAAAACCTTGGTATGGCTTACACTGCTCACACGGCTATGCAACTTCATCCCGGTGACATTTATCGTTCTATCGTGAAATTCTGCCACACTGTCGGGTGTTTTCAACCAGTCACCAGTGATGGCGTCACCATTCTGCCATATCCACCATCATCTGAAGGCATCTCATATGTCAAGTATTACAAGTAAGTAAACACCTTGGAATGGAGAAATTTTATATCATGAACAATGTTTTCAGGTAGAATGTTGTAGATATACACAGGGACCTCCTTTTTAAGATGATGCTATACCCATATAAACCGTTATTTTTATGTAAACACCACCTTCTGACAGTGACCATATTATGGCAGTGCTTTGTACAAATGAATGCAAAATGATGGAAGATGATGGTATATGTTGTGTTTACACTGATATCTACACTGACGTTTTCTATTAAGGTAGAGATGCAGTTTACCTGACAGGTATTTTAATTAGTTAGGAAACCAAGATGACCTTTCTTGTCCACAAAACTATATATTTTCGGAAAGCTTATTCTATGAATTATAAAATATATAATACAGTTTTGCACGTTTGATTGTTTTTATCATTGAACACAGTGAGACAGATGAATTGGAATTCTCATGGCGCAGTTTTGGACACAATCTACAGATGACCGGTCGTGACGTTATTGAATACATTGATTATTATGAGTGGACAATAACTATCAAAACCAACAGTCGTCATGGTGATGCCTTGTTTGTTTGGCAGTTATTAGAAGACCCTGTCCATGTAGGGGACGAGGTAAACGTGTACTTTTACCACATTATAAGGAAGACATATTTATATTATGTTTAGCTAGCTCCTAACAACACTCTAAACTTTATGACTTCTATGATTTATAGATGACTTATAGAGCATCACTTGATCACAGCTTACAATTCACTGAGTGTTTACAAATTGGTCTCCGTGGTTACACTAAAGCTGGTCTCTACACCACTGTATATAAAGACATATACGACTGTGATGCATACAATCCTGTACTGATTGTACCGAATATAGTGATAGATGCCTCTGGTAGTTGGGATGAAAAGAGTAATGATAATGGGTTAGTGCACCTGTTTTTGTACTGAAATACTAAAAATTCACTGTGTCCGACATACTTTATAGTTTTCTCAAAGCCACTTAAGTTCAATTCCCACCATATAACACCATTATTATTATTATTATAGGGATATATTTCTTGAAATAAACGCCCACTGGAACCAGCCTGATGCTGAATATACTCGAGCCATACATAAACTCGCGGCAGTATGGCCTACTCTACGATATAATCAGTATGACTGGAAGGTTATATCTGATGACAGCGTTCAACGGTGGGCGTATTTGACATCTAACGATGGGCATATTACATATGAGGAGTATGACTGTAGCTCACCAGAAGTGATGGCCTGTGGAAGTACAAATGTAAGTTCACTGATATAAGTTTTATGAGAGGCTTTTTATACGTTAGGGCATACATAAACAAAATCCACATCAATCCATCATTCAAATGAAGAATAGTTCGCATCAACGTAAAGCCCAAGAGGCATGAATTTCAAGTTAATATTCTTCCATGACACTTATAGTTAATATTTTAATTTATCTTATAAAAGGAAAACTTTATCAACATTCACGATCTACCATTAGTTCATGGCCAAAGATATTATGTATGCATATATTCAAATGCCACAAAGAAGGTATATGAATATGTAGAAGTGTTACTACCCGAGATATCAGTGTGTTCTGATGGCATCACCGTTGACCAAAGCCCACCTTTACAAGGCAATGTATGGATTGGATGGAGAGAACAACATTTCCAAGTGAGTGGTTATATTCTTGTTTGCCATTCGATGTCATATATCAGCTCAACACGATTGATGCTATACATTATCAGCAACTACAATAAAAACAATCACATAACTACGTTTAAACATTAATCATTATATACATATATTTTTGTTTTCTACTTCAATACTTGTCTGTGTAGTCAGCTGTATCTGAACTTATTGTTAACTGGCAGTCATTTGTTGACGTAGAAGAGGAAGGCCGTACCACTCATTATTCAGGAATTCGAAAATACGAATACGCTATTGGTGAGTATTTAGCTTCCGAGGTAAAGACATTTTCTGCCTAAATGTCATTCTTATTCGTAAAAGTATATTATGTGCTACCAACTCCAGTTTCAAATATTTCCTTAAAAATAAAACAGAAACGACAGTTATTACACACTCCTTTTCCTGTTTCAGGGTCTTCACCAGATGGAGTGGATGTACAGGACTTCATAGATGTTGGAATTACAAACAGAGCTGTGGCTCATGGTTTAGATTTACAGGATGGATATACATATTACGCTACCGTAAAAGGTGACAATTAACTTGGTCTTACATGAACTTTAGCATAGCAATGTTTTACTGTGATTATTACACCACGTTTCTATCATTAAACAATCGGCAACTAAAATATATGTGTTTACGTTCTTTTAAGCAACCGATTTTGTGGGCCTCACCACTATATCTGTATCACCCGGAGTCACCATAGATACAACGCCACCACAGAAGACAGATGTGAAAATCAACATTGGCGGGTCTTTCCATGTTTCAACTTCATCTGTCAGTGCTAGTTGGCGAGGACTGTTTGTTGATTTAGAAAGTGGTAAGTGGACATGCAATGAATGTGATTATAAGCTTAAGAATATATTAGTCTTCATAGTTCGATGTTTATTACTCTTGTGTATTACATCATATAAATTGATTTCTTCGTTTTTATATATATACAGGTATTTCTATATATGAATGGGCAGTTGGGTCACTCCCAGGTTTTGCAGATATTATGCCGTTTACTGTTATTAACTCCGAAGAAGGAACATCGGATGAAAACATTGACCTTGAATTAATAGAAGGCCATGCGTATTATGTTTCAGTTAAGGTAAGAGCTATTTTAGACAAGCGTTGGGTATAGTTTATTACACACATGGATATGCCGGATACATGTCCCCCTTACCGACCATGTTATACACATGTTTTTGTAATATTCCTGTATAAGTTGATAGTACTTGCGAATTGAATAATTGTACTGATTCTACTTTTTAGGCATACAATGGAGCTGGAATGTCAACCATGGCAACATCATGGGCCACTATTGTTGATGCGTCACCCCCAATTGCTGGTTATGTTTATGATGGAACTGTTTCTGCTGATCAAATTGACCTTGATGTTCAGGTAAATTATTTGTTATTGGCTGCGGCAAATATCAATTGCTTTAAAATAAATACAATGTATATTGAGTTAATATCTATTTTGTAAAATAACAGACGGATCTGAGCAGCTTAACGGCAAGGTGGACTGGTTTTAGTGATCCACATACTGGTATTGCTACATATACATGGGCAATTGGTACATGCAAAGTTTGTGATGATACAAGGGGAGAACAGTATGTGGGTGTAGTAACTGGTAAGTGACAATACAATACAATTCGACACGATTCAACACAGTACAATATGTATGCATATCAATTTTGCTCTAAACGCCACATATTTGTTTTGCTTAATTTCAGAGATGACAGCAGATAACCTAAATTTGAAACCTGGTTTCACGTATTATACGACCGTTATAGCTTGCAATGCTGCCAAGTTATGTACAACAGTGACGTCAGACGGTGTCCTGATAGATAACTCTCCCCCAGTCCGAGGCGCAGTGCATGACGGGATTAGTGGTCCTGACATTGCATATCAAACATCAAGGTATGATACTGATATGAGCGACATATCTATATATAATATTTCCAATTACTATAGAAACTCCATCCTGCATTGGTGGCACAAGTAGTCACCAAATTTAGATATTGTGCAAATTTCTTTAAACGTATACATCTCTAACAACAACAACAACAACAATTGGTTTCAAACAGATCAACAATGGCTGCACACTGGTACGGATTCCATGACCCACAGTCACAGATATCCCATTATGAATGGAGAGCAGGAACCACCGTTGGAGGAGAGGAAATTGTACCACCAACGACGCTGCATTTAACAGAGAAAGTGTTTATTTCCCAAATGTCACAAGATTTGCCCCTAAACACTATGATATATGTAACGGTGAGGGCGTACAACAAAGCAGGTGTGTTTTACGTGTATGGCGTTCTGCGAAAGTAGTATTACACATTTACTGTAATCAAATAGTACGTAATAGCAATACATATACAATACTCTCAGATATAAGTGACCACTTTCCCATTTGTTCTATATACGAAAATTTACATCATCATTTCAATCAAGGCAAGATATTTTACAAATGTGACTTCTCAAATTATAACCGTGACAAATTTGTTTCCGATTTGAACAATACATGTTGGCAGCCAATTTATAATTGTGATGAACCAAATCGGGCACTCAAGATTTTCTGTGATGCTTTCAGTGCTATTGCATCAAGGCACGCCCCAATTAAAAAATGTAATGTTAATAGCAAATCGTTTTGTAAGCCCTGGCTCTCGAAAGGTCTTCTTATTTCAACTAAAACAAAACACAAATTATTTTCTAAAATGAAAAGGTTTCCCAACAATATTCAAGTTGGTAACAAATACAAGATATACCGAAACCTTCTGACAAAACTGCTCAAAAAAGCTAAAAAAAAAACTATTATTCAGCCAAATTCCAGTCTTCGACTGGAAATACTAATAAAACCTGGAAAATTATAAATAGCATTTTAAACAATAATATTTCTATGTCTCCAAGACAGGTTATTAAATCCAATACGGGGGAAGTTTTATCAAAGGATATCGATATTGCACAGAATTTCAATGATTTTTTCACTGATGTTGGACCAGCCCTAGCTGCTCAAATCAATTCTCCTGAACATTTTACAAACTACCTTTCTGATAATCATTACACAGCTTCTTTCTTCCTGCGTCCAGTTAGTCAAAATGACGTCATTAATGAGATCGGGCGTTTAGATCCCAGCAAAGCTATGGGCCCAGATCATATTCATCCAAAAACAATAATCCATGCTGCCCAACACATTGCTAGTCCCCTAGCCCATATCATTAACCTATCCATTACTACAGGTATTTTCCCAGATCTACTAAAAATCGCTAAAATTACCCCCATATATAAAAAGGTTCACCTTTAGAAATAAGCAACTACAGACCCATTTCCTTATTGCATATTCTAAGCAAAATTATTGAATCTGTTGTTAAATCCCAACTTTTAGCGTTCCTTGATAAATTTAATATTCTTTTGCCGACTCAATATGGTTTTCGCAAACATTACAATACCAAACTTGCACTTGTAGATCTAATTACTGACATCACAGACAAAATGGACGCAGATTACATCACATTTGGTATATTTATAGATTTAAAGAAAGCATTCGATACAATTGACCACCACATTTTATTACAAAAATTAGAGCATTATGGGATTCGAAGCCTGCCACTTAAATGGTTTCACAGTTATCTAGAAAATCGTCTCCAGACAGTGGATGTCAATGGTACCGTATCACCCCCAAACCAAGTTAAATGTGGAACTCCCCAGGGTTCAATACTCGGCCCTCTATTATTTCTTCTCTATATTAATGATATTAACTCCAGTACCAATGCCTTTGATTTTCGTTTATTTGCAGATGACACTAACCTATTCAACTCACATAAATCTAACCAAATTAATCTTAATACTATTAATACAGAATTTAAAAAAAGTCGTTGACTGGTGTAAAGCTAACAAACTAACAATTAATGCCAACAAAACAAATTATATGGTAATTAAAACTCCACAAAAACAAGTTCATATTAATGGATCCCTAGAAATTGATAATGTACCGTTAGAGGGCGTAACATCAGTATCTTACTTGGGTGTCAATCTAAATTCGTCTTTGAACTGGAAATCTCATATTAACAAAGTCACTAAATTATTTAGCTCTAAAATTGGTATAATCTCACAAATTCGACATTATGTCCCAAGTATATTCTTATTCTATTATA